GAGTGAGACTCCAACTGAAAAATAAATAAATAAATAAATGTCAGAAAGTATTCTAAGGGCTTTGCATCTATTACTTCATTTAGTCTTCACAACAATGTAGCAGAGGAAATATGATTTTCTCCACTTTACAGAAGAAACTGCAGCTTGAAGGCATGCCCAGGTTGGTAAATGGTAGAAATTAGGATTTGTCTCTCTGATACCCAAGCTCAAAACCTTTCCACTGTGCCATGATGTCTCCTGCATCTCATTCTTTGTGTGTCAGAAAGCCCAAGCTGGGTTGGAAAGACTCACTGATTTTCCTTTGGTAGGAAAAGCCACGAGTCCTGACCCCCAGCCCTAGGAACCAGGAACGGAACCGGAAATACAGGTCCCACCATGACCAGATGATCTGCAAGTGCCTCTCTCTGAGCATATCCTACTCCGCCACCATTGGTGGCCTGGCCACCGTCATTGGCACCTCCACCAGCCTCATCTTCCTGGAACACTTCAACAAGTAAGTGATTTACTCGGTCAACAAATTCTTACCAACTTCTGCTGTGTGTCAAGAACTAGACTAGGTGCTGGGGATATCTGGTGACCTGGAGGTTACTGAAACCTAGGCAAGGGAAGTTAGGTCATGTGGTCGGATCTGAGAAAACAAGACTGCAACAATTTCTGTACAAAGAGGGAGGCTATCCCCAGGAGGTCTGGCTCTCCCATAGGGACAGAGCCATGTTCTGCCTGGCATCAAAGCCTCTGTAAGTGCGGTTTCTGTACGAAGAGGAAAAATCCAGCCATTACGGCTAAGTGTGACTGTAGTAGTCCAGAATTCTGCAGGGAGCACCCTGCTGGGGGAACACACCATCTGGAGGGAAGACACACATCCCCAAAGAGGTGGCTACATGGAAACCAGAAGGGAAAGCTAAAGTAAACTGGGTGAAGGGGGGTTTTCCAGACAAAGAAAACAATGTGTAGGTGACTCTGAGGCAGGAGAGGAGAACCCATAAAAGAAAATGACAGAGCGTACAAGGAGTGCAGGGAGCCAGATAGGCTGATCTCCAGAGCTTAGCTAGGCCCATTGATGGTCTCAGACTTCAGCCAAAAGGCTGTGAGAAGCCTTTACAGAATTTATAGCCGGGAGAGAGGTGATTAGATTTATAATTTTGAAAACTCATTCTGGATGAGTTGGGCAGATTCAAGGGATCTTCAGAGGGAACTTGCTGGGTCTTAGCGGGATTAACGAAGGCCTGAGAGGGAAAGGCCAAGTCTAGCTCTCAGGATCCTGGTCCAACAGCTGGGAAACAGAGGGAAAAGGCGAGGTACCCAGTCTTGGACACATCATCACAGAGGCTAAATGTCTAGCTGCATCTCAAGAGAAACATTTAAGCTGAAGGCATGGCTTTGGAGCCAGCTGTCACTGTGCCCAGAGGCTTCATGCCTGGTTTAATGCTCTGCTGTCCCTGTCTGGATATTCTTAATCTTGGAGTAAAAGGCCCACATTTTCAATTCACCCTTTGGTAATGGAAGCCATAGGAGTGGAAGAGACTAGTTAGAATACATAGAGTAAGTAGAGCAGAGGGCATAAAGACTGAGCTCAAATACTTAAAGTAGACTACAGAAAAGAGAAAGAAACAGTGTCAGACAGGAGAGAGGAAATCCAAAAAAATCTGGTGGCATTCTGATCAAGGGAGGAAAGTGCTTCAAGGAAGAGAAAGTGCCTATAATATATGATGTCAATGGATGATGATACAAAATAAAGTTGAAAATGTATCTACTAGATCTAGTGACCTGGAGGTTACTGGGACCTAGGCCAGGGGAGTTTGATCAAGTGGTCGGACGGAAGCCCAGTTTCTGTGAGCTGAAACAGGTAGAGTTGGAAATGGAGATTGTCACAATCCAGAAGAGATGTGCAGTGATGACAAAGGGGGACCAGAGTAGGTTCGAGAAGGGGTTTTTGAGATGGGATACATGTAATTGCTGGGAAGGAAGGTCCAAATGAAATGAATATTAAGGACTTGGAAGAGCAAAGATAACTGATGGAGTGATGCCATTGAGAAAACAAGAGGATGGGATCCAGAGCAGAGATATCAATCAGAGACAAGAGGAGAAACACATCTTCCACTTAGCAGAAAGGGAAAAGGAGCCAGGAAAGGAGGAAGGAGAGAGAGGGCAGAATGATTAACCAGTGAAAGTTCAAAACCTAATCACCCAGTATCGAGGTCTCATGGACTCTGCCCACAACTCTATTCTGTTCAGGCTCTGAGTTTCTGGTGTCTAATTTGTGGTTCCCTTTAGTGGTTGGGCCAATTCATATGCCCTTAGTCTACTTCTTGGGTGGTATAATGGTACATTTAGTCAAAATTATTGCTCACCTGAACAATGGGCATTCTATAAAAGTGAGCCCCTGAGGCCGGTGCCGTGGCTCACACCTATAATCCCAGCACTTTGGAAGGCCGAGGTGAGAAGATTGCCTGAGCCCATGGGTTCAAGACCAGTCCAGGCAACTTGGCAAGACCTCATCTCTACAATGAATCAAGAAAAATTAGCCGGGCATAGTGGCATATGCCTATAGTACCAGCTAATTGGAAGGCAGAGGCAGAAGAATCGCCTGAGCCCAGCAGGTCGAGGCTGCGGTGGCCATGAGCAAGCCACTGCCCTCCAGCCTGGGCAAACAGAGTGAGACTCTGACTCAAAAAAAAAAAAAAAAGTGAGTCCCTGGCTTCTCACTGGTCTGAAAGTACCCCCATGCTGTTTTTCTTGGCATCAGTGAACAGATCATCTCCAAAGTCCATTTGAGATGTTTCAAAAACCTACAAATTTGTTGTAACACTATAAACAGTGTGTGTGTGCATGTGTGTATATTTGTGTGTGTATATGTATTCTTATTTTTAAAATGCTGTAAATAGGTCGGGCTCGGTGGCTCAGCCTGTGATCCCAGCACTTTGGGAGGCCGAGGCGAGTGGATTGTCTGAGCCCACGGGTTCGAGACCCACCCAGGCAACTTGGCAAGACCTCATCTCTACAATAAATCAAAAATTACCTGGTCATGGTAGCGCATGCCTGTAGTTGCGGCTACTTGGAAGGCTGAGGCGGAAGGATCACCGGAGCCCAGCAAGTCAAGGCTGCAGTGGCTGGGAGTGTGCCACTGCACTCCAGTCTAGGTAACAGAGTGAGACTCCAATTCAAAAATAAATAAATAAAATAAAATAAAATTCTGCAAATAGCATTAAACCCTCATATGTATCCACAAAAACCTATTTAATCTATTCTAAAGTCCCATTCCTTTTCCTGGTCCAAGGGCAGGGCCTGGGTTTTTGTGACCAGAGAAGAAATGATGCAACAGACATTACACCCATCAGCCCAGGGCTGCCCATAGTGAGTCACCGAATGACTAATCCTTCTAGCTCCTAAAGCCCTTCTTATCCTTGCCCACCACCTATGACCCATTCAGGCCTCTAGGAAGGGTGTGAGTTGTCTCAACTCAAGCACATGTCCATGGCCAGGCCACAGTGCAGCAGAGCAAATGTCAATGGGACGACAGAGCTCAAGCGCTCTAACAGCCTGTGCTTCCATTACCTTCTCTTTGGGAATCCTGCAGCGCCTTCTAGTGTGAGAAGAGGGGTACGACGTCCTCCTGCCTTGGCGTTTTAACACCCAGCCCCAACAAGAGAGACTAGGAAAACGAAACATTGGCCATTTAGGCCCAGTCTTGTCTAGGCAAAAGTCGTGGCTCCCAGCCGGGCTCGGTGGCTCAGCCTGTAATCCCGTGCCTTTGGCAGGCTAAGGTGAGTGGATTGCCTGAGCCCGTTCGTTCGAGACCTGCCTGGGCAGGCGAAACCTCATTTCTACAATAAATCAAAAAATTAGCCGGGCGTGGTAGCACGCGCCTGTCGTTCCAGCTACTCGGAAGGCTGAGGCGGAAGGATCGCTGGAGCCCAGCAGGTCGAGGCTGCGGTGGCCGGGAGCGGCCACTGCACTCCAGTCTGGGCGACAGGGTGGGACTCCGACTCAAAAAAAAAAAAAAAAAAAGTCGTGGCTCCCCTGTAGTCCGCTCCACTCACTAGGAAACGGCGCTCGGCTTAGGGCCACAGTTCTACCTGATGACCTTGAGCGGTCCCCTGGGCAGCTCCCCTATACCCACAGTCACCAGTGGATATTGATAACGATTTGGAGATTCCAAGCCCTGCTTCTGTTATGGACACTGTTAATACCTGCAACCCTCACAAGGCCCTAGAACCCCTAATTCTGCAGAATTGTCTGCCTTTGTCCCCCAGTAAAACTCACATTCCTTCAGTGATTTTATAAACAAAGTATACCAAGCTGCTATCTCCATTTTCTGTGTCTTGAAGATCAGATGAATAAGCTCAGCAGAAATTAAAGGCAAATGGCCCTGGAGTAATTTTTTTTTTTTTTTTTTTTTTGAGTCAGGGTCTCACTCTGTCATCCAGGCTGGAGTACAGTGACACACTCACAGCTCACTGCAACCTCCACCTCCTGGGCTCAGGCAATCCTTCTGCCCCAGCCTCCCAAGTAGCTGGGACTATAGGTACATGCCGCAACGCCTGGCTAATTTTTTTATTTTTTGTTGGGATGAAGTTTTGCTATGTTGCCTAGGCTGGTCTCAAAACTCCTGGGCTCAAGCAATCCTCCTGCCTTGGCCTCCCAAAAAGTACTGACGTTACAGGCACCATGCCTGACCCGGAGTAATTCTTTTGAGTGCAAAGTATATACACTTTAGTGATACTAATTTTGGTCACTTAGATGCCTTTTCTTTGGCTTGCTTCACAATTCTCTCTGGGCTTTGTACAATTGCAACTGTAAAGCAAGTAAGTTCGAGAAAATGTTTTGTCCTATTGGTACCATGATCTCTCCCCTCATCCCTGCTGCATGTCTTCTTATGGCCCCAAATACTGTGTGGAAACCCAGTCTTTCCTAACCCTGACCTGATCTTTGCCCTGCAGCCAGTACCCAGCCGCGGAGGTGGTCAACTTTGGCACCTGGTTCCTCTTCAGCTTCCCCATCTCCCTCATCATGCTGGTGCTCAGTTGGCTCTGGATGCACTGGCTATTCCTCGGCTGCAAGTGAGTCCTAACACCCTACCAGCAAAGCATTGAGACACTGTGTAGATCCAATGGCCATGGCACAAACCCTGAGGGCTTTGCTCATGGAGACTGCTGAGTACCAGAGGATAGCCTAAGGAGAGTGTGGTGGCCTAGACTGGAAATTGGGCCTTGTCTCTGCTGGACACTTTAAACAGTCATAAACTCCTCTTTTCACTCTTGGCTCCACAATGAAATGTCCTTAATTCCAAAAAAATGGTTAGAGGACCTGCCGGCTTATAAAAAGTCTGACTTGGAGACCGTTTAATGTAGTTTCATTGCTCTCAAAGCACATGGAAAAATAGGAAATAAGAAATATTACTCCAAGTAGAATTTGCCTTAGGTTTGGTTTTATAGACATGAGTGATTCATACTTAGTAGCCTGTATGAAATATGCTCATATCCCTCAAAATAAAGAATTAGACATTTCCCTTACAATATTTTTTCTAATAGGAATCTGCTCAGCAAGATTTTCTTCACAACCATCAGTCTACTCCAAATTTGATCAGTTTCAAACACATAAAGGGAAGCTATATATATATTCTTATATATATGTTTATACACAAACAAGCTATATATATATTCTTATATATATGTTTATACACAAACAAGTTATATATATATTCTTATATATATGTTTATACACAAACAAGCTATATATATATTTTTATATATATGTTTATACACAAACAAGCTATATATATATTCTTATATATATGTTTATACACACACACACACACACACACATAATGTTTTGCTATTAGTCCATGAAACCCACCCAACACCTGCTAACTTTTCTCTGAGCTAACTTTTCTTTTCACTAAGGCTGTTGTCAAACCAATGGATCCTAGATACTTCTTAACCACAGTATTGCTCATACAAAACTAATACTTTTATCCCAGATAAGCTTTATCTGTAGACAAATAAACACACAAACACATATATCTAAACACACACACCATGTTACACTGATTCTTTTACAATGTAAGAGACAAATGTGAGGCCAGGTGCGGTGGCTCAAGTCTGTAATCCCAGCACTTTGGGAGGCCGAGGTGAGAAGATTGCCTGAGCTCAGGGGTTTGAGACCAGTCTGGGCAACTTGGTGAAACCTTGTCTCTACAATAAATAAAAAAATAAGCCAGGTGTGGTAGCACTCACCTGTAGTTTCAGGTATTTGGAAGACTGAGGTGGAAGAATTGCCTGAGCCCAGCAGGTCGAGGCTGTGGTGGCCATGAGAATGCCACTGCACTCCAGCCTGGGCAACAGAATGAGTCTCCAACTCAAAAAGAAAAAGAAAAAAGAGAGACAAATGTGTAGAAAGACCTCATATAAATCCTCTTGCACAAGCCCCTAAGACATTACTTCACATCAATATACCAAAGATATACCCAGATGGATACATCCAAAAGGCAAGGGAAAAGACTGAGGCGAGGTTGGATAACATGGCTGATGAAAACTATATGACTGTGTGTGGGACAGAGGGACAGCATGAGAGTGACAGGGACAAGAGTGACCACAGCCAGTGAGTGGTTTAGTATTTGCTGAATATTTTATCTCTTAGCCTCAGAAGTGTGTTTCTTGTTTGTTTATTCTCCCTTCTCAGTTTTAAAGAGACCTGCTCTCTGAGCAAGAAGAAGAAGACCAAAAGAGAACAGCTGTCAGAGAAGAGGATCCAGGAGGAGTATGAAAAGCTGGGCGACATTAGGTAAACTCAGCCGTTCCCTTCCCTCCTTCCCCAGGAGAGAAAACACAGCAGGGAGAGAGAGCACAGAGGCAGCCTTGTTCCTGTCAGTCTCTGATGCAATGAGACTTTCCACAACCATGAATCCAGGCATTTAGAAGATGCTATCTAATGCCAAAGTCAAGCTGGCTGAGTTTCAGGGGACTGCCCTTCCCTGTTGCTATATTCAGAGTCCGGGTATAGCCGTGGCATGGGAGTGGAGTGCTGTCCATGGGGCAGACGGAGACAGGAAAAGGCAAAGACAGCACAGCCACCCTCTTGGGAAAGGCTGACTTTCCTCTAAGGCCAGAACCCCTCACACTGCTCAAATGAGCCACCACTGTGGTTCAGCAGTCACTGACAGGGAGCTGGGAAACTCGAGGCTGTACTTGGAGCATAAGGCAGCATTGAAGGCAGACTTGAAGACAGAGGGGCCAAGGAATCACTAGCTAACCCTTCAGTGGCCCAACATCCTATTTAGTGCTTTTTTTTTTAATGGCAACTGGCATGTACAACTTGGACTGAGTAAAACAATTTAGGTAGACACTGTCTTTTTTAAAGCTTTAAGTTATAAAAGGAATGCACATTCACTATAGAACATTGAGAAAATATGGGAAAGTATAAGGAAAAAATTACAATCGACTTGTATTCTTAGCATCCCAGTGTTAGCATACTTCTTTCCATGTTTTATGCAAAACTATATGTATGTTGGTAAAATTTAGTCTATATTCAACATAAATATACATCTTGCCTTCTTCACTCAAAATTATACTGTCATTGTGTTCTCATGTCATGAACTCTGCTGTGGAAACAAGATTATTAGTGGACATATCTCATTTTAATATGTAGTTGTGCCTAACTGTGTTCACTGTCACAGAATATCATTAGAGGTTGTTTCCTTTTTTCTTTTTTTCTTTTTCTGAGTTGGAGTCTCACTCTGTTACCCAGGCTAGATTGCAATGACTCACTGCGGCCTCGACCTTCTGGGCTTAGATGATCCTTCTGCCTCAGATTCCCAAGTAGCTGGGGCTACAGGTGCAACACACCGTGTCTGTTTGTTTATTTTAAGTAGGAGTCTCACTCTGTCACTCAGGCTGGAGGGCAATGGCACACTCCTGGCCACTACAGCCTCAACCTGCTGGGCTCAGGTTATCCTTCCGCCTCAGTCTTCCAAGTAGCTGGAACTATAGGCATGTGCCACCAAGGCTGGCTAATTTTTTGATTTATTGTAGAGATGAGGTCTCATCAAGTTGCCCAGGCTGGTCTCGAACCTAGGGACTCAGGCAATCCTTTCACCTCAGCCTCCCAAAGTGCTGGGATTATAGGCATGAGCCACCACGCCCGACTGTTTTAGTTTTTTGTAAGACAATTTTGTAATTTTTCTCGGGCTGCTAGGTTCAGACAATTCTCCCACTTCAGCTTCCCAAAATGTTGAGATCGCAGGCCACTGTGCTCAGCCTGTTTCCATTTTTTTGACAGGTAATCTTTCCATATGCATTTTGGGTTATTTTGTTAGATGGCAAGAATGACCAGATTGAAGGCTCCTGATGTATATACAAATGCCCTCAGAGAGGTTGTATGACTCCTACTCCTACCAGCATAGTGTTTGAGGGAACCTGTTTCACTACATTCTCCTTAAGGGTTGTATCCAAAATTATTTTGCAAATGTATGTGCTGTGTTCTCTTGTCCTTCCCACATTAGTTCCTCCAGTGAACATGGCCGTGTCATATTTTCTGGCACCTCTCAGCCCTCCTCCCACTTCAACCATTCATGGTGGCTGGGCAATGACTGGGTTTTACATCCTAAGTGTTGGAACTCTGAATACTGAAGCTTCCAGAAGCAAAGTGAAGAAGCTGAATTTCCCAGTTCTGGAGTGGGTCTTTCTGTTTTATTTCATAGCTACCCTGAAATGGTGACTGGATTTTTCTTCATCCTGATGACCGTGCTTTGGTTTACCAGGGAGCCTGGCTTTGTCGCTGGCTGGGATTCTTTCTTTGAAAAGTAAGTGATATCATTTCCTCCTTAAGAACAACCCCCTCACTCAGATTCCTCAGGCAGTAACCACTGGTGTCCCTTCACAGACTCTTAGGGGGTAGATATAAAGCCAGGAAGCATTTCATTCCCTAGGAAAGCCACTCTTTTTAGGGAGGCTGCCACGTTGAATCAGGAGGAAAACACAGGGTTTGAACCAGGCTAGGTGGCTCAGCCTGTAATCCCACGCCTTTGGGAGGCTGAGGTGAATGGATTGCCTGAGCCCACGGGTTCGAGACCAGCCCGGGGAACTTGGCGAGACCTCATCTCTACAATAAATCAAAATGAGCCGGGCGTGGTAGCGTGCGCCTGTAGTTCCAGCTACCTGGAAGGCTGAGGCGGAAGCATCGCCGGACCCCAGCAGGCCGAGGCTGCGGTGGCTGGGAGCGGCCACTGCACTCCAGTCTGGGTGACAGAGTGAGACTCCAACTCAAAAACAAAAACAACAACAACAAAAAAACACAGGGTTTGAAGTCCCTGTCTGGGGCTGGAGTCCAGTGCTGCCACTTCCCAGTTATGCAACTGGGTCTTATTATATGTGCTTTTGGAATCAGTTATCTCACAGGTTGTTATGAAAGCTAAAGGAAAAAGCATCTATAAAATAATGTCTGGCTGTGAAGAGGTTATGGTCACAGAGTGGCTGAGGCCTGTGGGAGGAAGGCAGACACTACCAGAGGTAGACACAGGCTCCTGTGTCACGCTGCATATCCCCCAGGCCAGGGCCACGGGGTGCCAGGCCACGAGGTCTCCCAATAGCAGTTTCTCATTTGAGAAGGGACACACACGGTGGTATGTCCATTCTCTTTTATCTATCCACCTCCTGCTAGGACTCACCCCAACTAGTGAACCCATAAATTCACACTAAGACATCTGCCCTAGCCAGGCCCCACCTCCAGATATTAACCATAGTCCATCAGGTCCACTGTGGGACAGCATGGCAGCAGCCAACATGAAGAAGTCCTCTAGGCTAAGTCCTAAAAAGAGGCATTGTGCTCAGAGAGGCTGTCCTGAGGCATCATCTTTCTCCCGAGGCTTCCTGCCCTCCCTCTGCAGCCATGCTTGTCTCGTTGCTAGGAAAGGCTACTGCACTGATGCCACGGTGTCTGTCTTCCTTGGCTTTCTCCTCTTCCTCATTCCAGCGAAGAAGCCCTGCTTTGGGAAAAAGAATAATGGTGAGAGGAGGTGTATGGGAAGGAGTCGGGGTGGCTGTAGTTAAGGAATACCTAAATCAGAATCTTCCAAAGGAGTTACTAAGGCCTTCAGATCCCTCCCACCCCTGCAAAATAGTAGAGCAGTCTCCCAAATCACCCAATTCATCAATTAAGCTCCTCTCTCTGCAAATCATGCCCACTGGGGTTTCTGGCTCTACCTGTCTCTACCTGTGATCCAGGAGAGAACCAGGAGCCCTCGCTGGGGACAGAGCCCATCATCACATGGAAGGACTTCCAGAAGACCATGCCCTGGGAGATTGTCATTCTGGTGGGAGGAGGCTATGCTCTGGCTTCTGGGAGCAAGGTAACCCTTGGATTCTGTTGTTATATGCCACATATTTGACTAGCAACTTCACCTAGTGAGTCATTATGACCCTGGGAGGAAAACTCAAAGGAGCTGGGAGGTGACTGTTCATCAAGGCACCGGGCAGGAAGGTATTTGAGCAGGATGGAGTCCTGTCCTTCGTGAACATCCCAGTTAGTGCTGCTGGGGACAAAGGTAGAGGTCAGCTGTGCCATGGAGTCAGGACACATGGACAGTCACACTTCAATGATGGGACCCACACTACCATGAACAAAAGGTATTTTGGAATCTATAGCCATCTCCTTCTGAGATCTGACAGTGGTGGCAGGAGATGGGTCTGTATGAGATCAGCGATGCCCCAAGTGATACCTGGTGAACTGTTCCTCTATCAGTCCATAAGGCAGAGGCAGAGCCCCTTTGGAGAAGTAACACTAAAGCCAATGTAAATGCTTTTTGCTTCCTGACTGGGGACATTTGGGAAGAGATCTTTTAAGTGGGGCTGGGGGGAAATGATGGAATTTCCTAAAGTGTTAACCCTCTCTGAAATAGAAAAAAATCCTAAGAAGGAATCAAGTTAAGGTTCAGATTGTTTCTTCCTCCACCTTGTCCACATGCATTAACCCATTCTAAACTTGGTTCACTTTGGATGGCCGTTCATTGTAGGCCTCAGTGCTATCGGCATTATTATTAAAAAGGTCATGGAATCCTATAGTCAGAAGGAATCTTGGAGGACACAGAATCCTATCTCCTACCCAGTGTGAGATTTCCATCCCAGTCACCCCTGGCTGAGATACCTCCAGTGATAGGGCACTTCCTGTGCCTGTCAGGGAACAAAGAATAGTTGTTCTTTATCTTCCACCCAGTCCTTCTTTCTGCTGTCCTCCGATGGCTCTGGAATCATCTCTGAGGTAATCAATTATTAACATTAAAAAGCCCAACACTACCTGGTCTTTCTCCTCAGGACTCACTATAAGTCTGGCCTTATTCAAGCATGTTCAGGGAGAGGTCAGGCTACTGCCAAGTACGGTGACTGTTACCCACACCCTGCATCTCACTGTGATTCAAGCACCACTCTGCATGTGGAAGCTTTTATAAAGCATCCTTGGCATCCATGTCAATACATATATTGAAATTGCAGTCAACTAAAACCCTACATTCTATTAATTGTTAACCACTATTAGATCTCAGTTCCTTCAACCCACCCTATACATATACCATATATGCTGTCATATATAGATAGATAGATAGATTTTTTTTTTTTTTGGTCAGAGTCTCACTCTGTCACCCAGGCTAGAGTGCAGTGGCTCGCTTATGGCCACCCCAGTGTTGATCTGCTGGGCTCAGGTGATCCCTCCGCCTCAGCCTTCCAAGGAGCCAGAACTACAGGCGTGATATCACGTCTGGCTTTTTAAAAATATATTGTAGAGACGAGGTCTCATCAAGTGGTCCAGGCTGGTCTCGAACCCCTGGGCTCAGGCAATCCTCTCACCTCAGCCTCCCAAAGTGCTGGAATTATAGGCTTGAGACACTGCACCTGGCCTGCTGTCAATATTTCTAATTCTAAGTTCAGGATATTTATCTTTATTGAATTTAGGTTGTTAGTTTTGGGCCCTACATCTAGCCTGGCAGGTTTTTTCTTAAATCAAAATTGTATACATAGTTTTGTTTGTTTGTTTTTTGAGTTAGAGTCAGTCTCACACTGTCACCCAGGCTGGAGTGCAGTGGCACAATCACGGCTACTGCTGCTATCAAGCAATCCTTCCACCGCAGTCTTCCAAGTAGCTGGGACTACAGGTGTGCACCACCATGCCCAGCTAATTTTTTTATTTATTGTAGAGATGAGGTCTCACCATGTTACCCAGGCTGGTCTCGAACTCCTAGGGTCAAGCAATCATCTTGCCTCGGCTTCCCAAAAGTGCTGGGATTACAGGCGTGAGTCACTGTGCCTAGCCCAAAATTGTATATATATTTTACATATAGTATAGTTACTGTTTTTGTAAAACCTATGGACTCTACTAATTTTAATAGTAATTCAGGTATATATTTGATTCATAAAACCATACACATGATTTCTACCGAATTTGAAATAATTTCAGTCTTGACATTAGTGGGGAAAACCCAATGTAAAACAATGTAAAACATTTTCATATCAAGGGTTTAAAAAATACTACCTTTGGTTGTGGGGTGTTTTTTTTTTTCTTTTTTTTTTTTTCAGTTAGGACCTTGCTCTGTCACCCAGGCTGGAGTGCAGTGGCACCATCATGGCACACTGCAGCCTCTACCTCTTGGGCTCAGGCAATCTTTCCACCTCCCTCCAGAGTAGCTGGGACTACAGGTGCGTGACACTGTGTCTAGCTAATTTTTTGATTTTTATAGAAATGATGTCTTGCTATGTAGCCCAGTCTGGTCTTGAATTCCTGGGCTAAAGCAATCGTCCTGCCTTGTTATCCCAAAGTGCTGGGTTTATAGGAGTGAGCCACTATGCCCAGCAGTTACATGTTTTCCATCTTTGCATCTAATTTATCAATTTATTTCTAATTATAGTATAAAATAGTTCTATTGGAAAGATAATTGCCATTAAATTGTTTTACTTTACTTACCAGGACTATTTGATAACATATTAAGTAAAATTCTATTTCTTATAAAATATACTGTTTCCATTTGATCTTCCTCCCCTGCCTCTGTTTAAAGAGGGAGTAAGGGGACTGGGCTCGATGGCTCAGTCTGTAATCCCAGTAATTTGGGAGGCCGAGGTGAGTGGATTGCCTGAGTCTGCAGGTTCGAGACCAGCCCGGGCCACTTGGCGAGACCTTGTCCCTACAATACATAAAAAAAAATTAGCTGGGCATGGTAGCGCATGCCTGTAGTTCTGGCTACTTGGAAGGCTGGCTACTTGGGTCAACACTGGGGTCAACTTCTGGCTACTTGGGTCAACACTGGGGTGGCCATGAGTGTGCCACAGCACTCCAGCCTGAGTGACAGAGTGAGACTCCAGCTCAAAAAATAAAAATAAAGAGGGAGTAAGGTTGAATGTTATAAGAGGGAACAGTTTCAGAGTTCCTAGAGGCCTCCAGCCTCTGAACCAAGCATTAATTCACTCTGTCTCCATATATTGAGTTCGTAGCTCCCCATCAGTTGAGGAAAAAAAGGGAAGAAAAGTTCTACAAGGCAAAATGGCTACCGCAGAGAGCATTCTGAAGGCCTTTCGTTATTAACTGCCCAGGAGCTTGCAAGGAGGGAGACAAGGCCCTGTGGTGACCAAATGAGCTTCTCATGAATCTGGAAGAGCAGAGGAAAGTAGCCTGCTGACAGTGTGGAAGGCTGTCTGTACTAGTCTACCTGAAAGCAGGACTCAGAGCTTGAGGAATCAGAGTATCTCATCTTGCTTTCCACCCCTACTCTCCACATCTTCCCTGCACTTGCAGTCTTAGGGGACCACAGGAAGTCAGACAAAATCTAACCACTGGGCATGGCATGGTGGTTCACTCCTATAAACCCAGCACGTTTGAATAACAAGGTGGGAGGATTGCTTTAGCACAGGAGGGACCAGAGGAGGAGGGAGGGAGAGTACATATGGCAATCAAGATTTCCAATACAGGCCGAGCTCGGTGGCTCAGCCTGTTATTTCAGCACTTTGAGAGGCCAAGGCAAGTGGATTGCCTGAGCCCGTGGGTTTGAGACCCGCTCAGGCAACTTGGCGAGACCTCGTCTCTACAATAAATAAAAAACTAGCTGGGCGTGGTAGCATGTGCCTATAGTTCCAGCTACCTGGAAGCTGAAGCGGAAGGATTGCTGGAGCCCAGCAGGTCGCGGCTTTGGTTGCTGGGAGCTGCCACTGCACTCCAGTCTGGGCGACAGAGTGAGACTCCAACTCAAAAAAAGAAAAAAAAAAGATTTCCAGTACAAAATTCAATGGTGCCCTTCATTTTTTAGGAGAGGGAGGTGGCCCTCACCACTGACAGGTGAACACCTTCCAACTAAATGGATTATTTCAAGTGGGAATATTCATTAAGTGGATGTATACAAAGGGTGCTAATGGCAAAGGTTTGGGATGGACAATTTGCCTTCATATCTTATATTTTCAAAAAGTCCTGAGAGTTGATCCTGATATCAGCAGTGATGAGATTGACCCTAAAACATGTTGCAGCTGGAAGGACCGGGTGGGCTCCTGGCCAGTTAGAAGACTTCTTCACTATATAGAAATGGACTTTCCATCCCTCTCCGTTTCACAACTCACATAAAACTTCCAGTATTCCACCCTGCCTGCTTACCCCTCCCAAAAAATACAGGAAATGTTACTATCCACAGGTGTTGATGCATTTTTCCCTATCTTAGGTGACAAAGAGAAACAGATTTCAAAAACAGAAGAAAGAATTGTACTTGGCACTGTCCACTCAGTGCATAGTGAGAGTGTCAGAGGTTGAAGAAGGGGAAATGAGATTGAAGTTGAAGAACTAACGTTGAGGGACAAAGATCTCCAACCCCTGCCAAGCAGTCATGGCAAAACTAAGACAGATCATGGCAATTAGGGTGGGTGGCTCTCCATGTCCCATGACAGTGACTGACCAGGAACCCCAAAGACAGTTGTACAATCATAAAAATAAATTATCTGAGTTACAAAATGATCTAATCATAAAAATCAGGAATGTCTCTGGCTCCCATTAGACTGAAGATAGATCAGATCAGAGAGACTTGGTGGTCTAGCCCTCCAGCATCCCTGGCCTTCTTGAAATCTAAATTTCATGTGGGATGTGCCTTTCCTTCTCTTTCTTCTGGCTGTAACACGTTCTCTTCCCACAGAGCTCTGGTCTCTCTACATGGATTGGGAACCAGATGTTGTCTCTGAGCAGCCTCCCACCGTGGGCTGTCACCCTGCTGGCATGCATCCTCGTGTCCATTGTCACTGAGTTTGTGAGCAACCCAGCCACTATCACCATCTTTCTGCCTATTCTGTGCAGCCTGGTGAGTCTTGTGGGTTCTTGGGTGTCCAGACAGATTGCCCCAGGAGCCTGTGCAGTGGTGTGCCTGGCTTCAGGGCACCTCCCATGGCTGCACCTTCTCTTCTGGTCCTTGTCCACAGTCTTTAGTGACTGGTGTTCAACTCAGTGTGAAAAATGAAGTTCTCCCGCGCCTTTGGGAGGCTGAGATGAGTGCATTGCCTGAGCCCGTGGGTTCAAGACCCGCTTGGGCAGCGAGACCTCATCTCTACAATAAATCAAAAAATCAGCCGGGCATGGTAGCGCATACCTGTAATTCCGGCTACTGGGAGGACTGAGGTGGAAGGATCGCCGGAGCCCAGTAGGTCGAGGCTGTAGTGGCCAGGAGCGGCCACTGCACTCCAGTCTGGGCGACAGAGTGAGACTCCAACTCAAAAAAAGAAAAAGAAAAATGAAGTTCTGATAGAAAAATTGATAAATAAAAAGATACACTAATAAATCATAGCAAGAGTTCTAGAAACCTTTTTTCCAAAAGGATAAGATTCTTTAGGGGCTTCCCTGAATAGAAAAAAGGATGGATAAAATAACCTTAAAATTCTATAATTCCAATTCCCCCCAATCATTGTCTCCTGATATAAAACCTAACAGTGGGGCCAAAAGGTAGCTAGAAAAAAATGAAGACAAAACACACATAGCTGCAAAGACCAAGATCACAGTTCACGTGATCATCATCACTTCCACCCACTTTCACTGGAATTTCACCAATTTGCGTCAGAGTTGGGAGCAAGGTCAGACTCATTCCCCAGCCTCAGACCAATGCGTTGTGAACAGAATAGAGAGGGGGAGCAGTTGTTAGCCAAGCAGCCCTTCTGGGGGAGATGAGGGAACCTAGGAAATGAAGGCTCCTCCCACCACCAGCAAAATAGTCTCTGGTTCTTTCTGAAATCCCCCCTGGCTGGGCGCGGTGGCTTATGCCTATAATCCCAGCACTTTGGGAGGCCGAGGTGAGAGGACTGCCTGAGCCCATGGGTTCGAGACCAGCCTGGGCAAGTTAGCGAGACCTCGTCTCTACAATAAATCAAAAAATCAGCTGGTTGTGGTGGCGTGTGCTTGTAGTTCCAGCTACTTGGAAGACTGAGGTGGAAGGATTACCTGAGCCCAGCAGGTCAAGGCTGCGATGGCCATGAGCATGCCACTGCACTCTAGTCTGGGCGACAGAGTGAGACTTCAACTCAAAAAAAAAAAAAACCAAGCCCGGCTCGGTGGCTCAGCCTGTGATCCCGCGGCTTTGGGAGGCTGAGGCGAGTGGATTGCCTGAGCCCGTGGGTTCGAGGCCTGCCTGGGCAACTTGGCGAGACCTCATCTCTACA